GTAAAGACAGACAGTGGACAGTGTAAGATATGAAAATAATAATACTTTAACAAGGGTTCATGAGGATGGGAGAGTGGGGGAGGGAGGGGAGCAAAGAGGAGCTGATACCAAGGGCTCAAGTAGAAAGAAAATGTTTTGAAAATGATGATGGCAACATATGTACAAATATGCTTGATACAATTGTTATAAAAGCTGTAAGAGCCCCCAATAAATTTATAAAAAAAACAAACTTTTATAACCCCAAAAAGGACTGGACAAAGGATCTAAACAGACATTTCTCCAAAGAAGGTAGATAAATGGCCAATAAAGACATGAAAAGATGCTCAGTATTATTAACCATCAGAAAAACATCCATTAAAAACATGATGTACCATGTAACACCCCACTGGCGCCCTGGTGGCACAGCAGCTAAGTACTCCCTCTAGTCCCAACACAGCACCTGAATACAACGTCCACAGCAACCTTATTCAGAACAGCTAAGAAGTGGGCCCAACCAAAATATTCACCCACTGCTAAATGGATTAAGAAATGAAGTACCAGTACATCCTCAACTCAAGAACACTTTGTCCTAACAACATGGCATTCTGTGATGTTCACCTTCCCAACATATTTGCTGAAGAAAAAAATGGTACATAAGCAAATGTGGTGAAGAAAGCTGATGGTGCCCACCTATTAAAAGATATAGCCTCTGGGGTCTTAAAAGCATGAACAAGCCGTAGGGAAGCAACCAAGCCCACATGGAAGCAGCACACAGCCTGTGTGATCACAAGGTGTCGAAGGGATCAGGTATTAGGCATTAGAAGGCCCAGAACAAACAATTATATGGTTGCAAACAATGGAGGTCATAGTGGAGACCCAAGGCCCATCTGTAGACAATTGGACATCCCCTCACTGAAGAGTCAAGCCAGCCAGGGTACAGCATAGCACTGATGAAACACACAAGATTCCTCTAGTTCTGTAATGCCCCCCTTCTCGCCCCTGCCACTATCATGTCCCCAGTTCTACCTTACAAACCCGGCTAGACCAGAGCATGCACTCTGGTACAGTAAGAGCTAGACACACAGAATCCAGGACAGAATGAACCCCTCAGGAACAGTCACGGGAGTAGCGATACCATGAGGGTAGGCGGAATGAGGAGTAGAAGGGAGAGAAATGGGGAACCGCAATTATCAACCTTTAACCCCCCTTCAAGGGAACAAACAATAGAAACGTGGGGTGAAGAGAGACAGTGGATGGTGTAAGGTACGAAAATACTAACAGTTTAGCAAGGATTCACGAGGGTTGGGAGGGTAGGGAGAAGAACAGCTGATATACCAAGGGCTCAAGTAGAA